AACTCCACACGTTCCAGGTTTCACTGATGGGGTTGCCGAACTCACAGGAACGGTTGACATAAAAGTAACATTAGGAGGACACTCTTGCAGGTTCACACGCAGTCCGCTTGAGAAATGAAGTGGCTGTTAATTTTGCAGTCATCCAGATGACCGCGTGTAGTCCATCAAAATATTTTAAAATGCGTCAAATGCGATGGAGTACACTGAAGTGCCCTGGGGAAGGGTACCCCTTAATCTGTCCTATTGCATGTCTCTCACTTTTTTCGCCAATGGACCAGTCTTCCGTAAGTGTTTGCGGGTTGACTAGTGATTATACTGGGCCCAGTGACATGTCTAAGCCTCTATCAAACGCACGACACACTCATAACCCTGCGTATCTCGAATAACTTATACCATGGGCCAATGTGGCGCCGTTTTGACCCAAGCACAGAAATGCACTCCCGCTTAGGGGCAGCATACCAACAGAATGATAAACCAGCTAAAATTTCCACCAGATATGACAGGAGCTGCAGGAAACAGCAGTTTGATTTCGCAATTTAACCAAATAAACATACAGAGATTCAAGTTGAAGTTTGTTTCGCAGGTCAACAGAACCCAGTCAACAGACCTTCGATCGTGAGACCAGCTGTTAACAATTTCAAGTAATGGCGAAGTAAACTTCATGAAATCTTTTTTGGCAGAAACGTGGGCGCCCCTATGCAAATTTGTCTGATTTTGGCTCCCAAAGAGGACAATAAAAGCAAGATTATGCTGGTAGATCTAGTGAATGACCGAAGAAATGTCGGACTAACCTGGTAACCCGATAGTCAAAGGTTGTTCGGAGAACTGGACGACAGGGTTCACTCTCACATCGGTGAGCAAAACTCATCTATAAACACACACGCATAAAGTTAATAAGGAGTTGTGAGTAACACAGCGACCAAAGGATAAAAAATTGTACAGATTGCTAGTTTCTTGAACTCTATGATAAGCTAAATCCATTATTGAGATCTAGTAAAAAGGTTTACTTGACAAGTAAAACAAGCCAAAAGATACCATTTAAATGACAAAAGTATCGAGGGTGAAAAACGAGCCAGCTATATCACAGAGCCTGTTTTGCGGGCAGACTAAATAACCAGGATGGAAAGAAAGGACCGTCTCTAATGAATGCATCCTTGCATAGGTTCAAGACGAAAGAGGCTAGGGAGAGGGTGACACTGAGGAAATGAGAAAACAGACGAAGAAACCAGCCAGTTTTGAAGTGAAGTTCATTAACCTCAAAAGTACTCTGAGTAACTTCGCTGGCGTGGGGCGCATTTTGTCATGATTCATCCGCATATAAGTAGAACTGTATCGAGTCTATAAATTGCAATTCAGCCCTATCGATGGTGTTGAAATTCAGAGAACGAATGGAGGATTAGAATTGGTAAAAGCGTTGGCATAAAAACTCCAACTACAAGGTTTAACGGGCACGTATTTATACTTGGGTACGTGCCCCATAAACAGAGCAGTTACTTAGAGCAGTGGGATACATATTTTCACTTGATAGGACCAAAAAAAGGTAAACCACAATAAAACTAGACTTTAAAACAATTTGATTGATAATACCGTGCACTTCCAGCTTTTTTCATAACATACTATATTTTAACGAAATGCGTATTCAGGCAAAATCTGACGACAGGAGCCCCTCCATTCTGGAACGCTGCATAGTTAAAATACGAGGATCACCGGTTATATTACTATCCACTCTGTTAGTACGGGGTGGACGCGTATATCCATTAAGTAATTAGATAGAAAAATAAAACGCCCTTTATTCAAAATTGCTGAAAAGAGGAAAGCGAAATGAGAAACGTGCCATTTTTACATCCGTGTTATTGCGGGGATCATTTGTCGGAAAATTGTTGATATCCGCTTGCTCTGTCGTCGGGTTGGGAGGTTTCAGCTCCCACTTAACTCCAAATCGTAGAGGTTCTGATAAGTCCACTAGGTTCAGATCCTAGAAGAAATTGAATGGCTTGCTGATGGTGGCTTTTGATATCATAATGAGTACAAAAACAACACGTTAGGGATGACTACCTCTGACCAGAATGGGTATTGCATTTTCAAACATGGCAGTTTTATTTAAGGAGTTAAGTCTGGCAAAGGTATACTTTCGAGTATTCACTATCAGGGCTTTAGAGTAACACAAGAGAGGGTAGAAGTAGAAAATGGTTAACCAACCAATCAACAGTAGGTACGAATGTCTATCTACTTTACCATTTCCAGGATTAAGTAACAATAGGTAAGGTAACAATAAGGAAGTGTGACTGGGTGTTTGGTGGCAAATAACCTGACAAGTTTGCAAAAAATCGTTCTTGAAGCCAAATTTGTCTCTTGCATCTGAATAAACAATGTAATTTTTTCCACTTATCTTCACCTGATTTTCATTGGCTTAAAATCAAATTTTATGGTCCCAGAAAGGATTTAGGTGAAACATTACCTGCATACATTAGTATCCTTCTATAGCACAACGCCGAAAAATACGTTTTTTCGGTGATATTAAATATCATAGGACATTTCTTGGATATCCGGACACCTCTGAGTTCACTTAAGTCCTATCTGGTTTCCTTCAATAAAGAAAATGGGAAATGCGGTTTTATTTACTAAAAGACTTTTTAAGCCTCAAATTCACTCAATAAATCAAACTAACAGAACCATATATAGGCCAAACTACGTACTTTAATTTTGATGAGGACATTGCATGAGTTATCTCCCGAGCTAAAGGCGACACCAGCTGGATCGTATGATCACGCTCTGTGAGTTCTATGCGGAAATGAGGTTTACCAAAATGGTCCGACCACAGTAGGTCATACGGTCACTCCTTTCGGCGGCTTGCGATGAATCTAGACTAGATCAGCTGAAATGCTCGTACCCCACCATACAGTCAAGCTAGACCAACGAATGTAAATTCCGTGTAGCGCTGACAACAGCCGGCAAAATGCGAGCCTATTGCCCCACAAGCGGAGTTATAAACCCAATAATCAATCGAGCGCCGACTAAAGTGTCAGGTCTGCCCTGTCTGGGACTACGTTTTAGCTGGCCGATAACGGTAAATAAAATAAAAGGAAGGCCATTTTAGAGCACCTAATCTTAGCTCCCAAGGATATGTCCGGCTCTTGACAAAAAACTCGTTAAGGCTCAGGATCATAGGAAAAACATCAAACTAGAGACCCTTGTCAGTTGAGGCACTTACGCGAAGGGCAACTCTGACAGTCTTGGCTGCCGCGATCTCTGAAGGGCTTAGCGGTTCATGCGCTC